GTCAAAGAAAACATATATATTTAAGAAAATTAGCATTATAAACAGGATTTTACCCATTTTGTCTCATAACTGGCTTATTTTCTCTTGAATTTGGCTCAGCAAAGTGAAACAGGAAGGGTCATTAAAGGGGAACTCTTTAAGAAAAGAAACTCAAGTCTTTGTTCACTGAAACAATCATATTTAAACTCTTCATCTCTGATAGTGACTCAATAATCTAAAGAAACATCAGATTCTCCTCTACAGTCTGTTAATAATGTAGCAACGCTCTGTTTGCATGCAGATATTTCACTTTGACATCACTTCCTTTTTCTTTACATGCAAATATCTCAACAACCGTTCATCTCAATGGCGTGAAATTTGTTTTGCAACACGTTATCAATGTTCTTTCCAAAAAACATATTCACATTTATTACAAAAATTTGATGTCAGACACTTTAGGTGTTGAATGCTAGGGTATTATAAAATAACATTGTGGAGCTATATCGGTTTCCTTTGTCTCAAATACACATACCCTACTGTTCCTGTTTACATGAGAGTGTAAGTGTGGTTCAGGTTAAAATACAAGTTCTGTACTGTACTGACCCTAAAGCGTGTGAAGTCAGTATAGGAGGTGTCATAGGTCTTGTGGTGAGCTTCCACCAGGCAGGAGATGATCCGAGACTGCTCCTCATTCAGCCGTGGCCTCTGCGCCTCCCGGGCCGCTTCCTCCTCCTTCCTCTTCATGATCATTTCCCTTTTCCTTTGAACCTCCTCATCTGTCAGTATGACTGCAACAGCAGGTAGAATGTGGAAAAAAAACATTAATACAGACTAATGCCAAAACTAGTAACTGCACTGAAAGGCATATACATGAAAACTTGAGCAATTCCTTTTGAAAACTTGATCCTTCAGTAGGTTACTAGTGGCAATTAGTGTGAAACATAAATATCTTTTAAGAACTTTTTAGTGCCTAAATTCATCAAAATCTTTTTTAAAAATCAAAATTTAGAATACCAAAAACTAAAATAAAAAGAGCATTATTAGAG